CAGAGTGCTCTCCTGTCCCCCGCCGTCTCGTGTTTCTTCTCGCTGGCTGGTTTTCAAGGGGAGCACGGTGGGCTCAGTTTCAGGCATCCTGATTACTTGCTAAGAATGCGGTCGTGATGAGCTTCAGATTGCGTCTGCTCAGAAGCCATGAGAATCGGAGTTTCTGGGTCACTGGGCTTGTCCCCAGGTAATAGTCGTGGTTTTGTTGGGTTTGGGAAGTTGACCAAACGGTCTTGTGCCTAATCGACAGCAGAGCAATATTTTCTTAAAGGGGAGGAGGTGGGATTTAGAGTGGATTCAAGAGCCAGGCCTTTTGGTTTCAGGCCCAACCATGTTACCTAAGGCTGAGTCAGTAGAGGAGCACGTGGTTAATAATGGAGAGCCTTAGTTGTCCATGAAAGTTTCGTTACAGTCTACGTCAACAGACCTGAGGGGGTTTCCTCTTTATTTATATCTTATGTATATGGGTGTTTTACCGGCATGTAACATATGTCTGTGAACCGTGTATGGCCGGTACCCACAGAGGGTACCAGAGGGTTTGGGTACTGCACACAGAGGCCAGAAGAAGGTATAAGATCTGCTGGGTCTGGAGTTGCAGAGATAGTTTTGTGAGTCACTATCTGGGTACTGGGAATTAAACCCCAGTCCTCTGTAAGAGCAGCCAATGCTCTTAGCCTCTGACCCATCTTTCCAGTCTTCTGAAGGGGGATATTTTTCATGAATTATCACAACTTAGTAGATTGGAGAAAGGTTGAGAACACTCTTGGCATATGTCTTAGGGTTTCTATTACTGTGAAGAGTCACCATGACCACAGCAACTCTTATAAAGGAAAGCATTTAATTGGGTGGCTTGTAGTTTAGAAATTTAGCCCATTATCATCATGGCGGGACATGGCATCATGCAGGAAGACATGGTGTTAGAAGGAGCTGAGAGTCCTGCATCTTGAGCCAGAGGCAACAGGAAGTGAACTGTGACACTGGGCGGTATCTTGAACACAGGAGACCTCAGAGTCCACCCCCACAGTGGCACACTTCCTCCCACAAGGACATGCCTACTCCAACAAAGCCACATCTCCCAGTGGTGCCACTCCCTGTGAGCTCATGGGGGCCAAATGCATTCAAGCTACTACAGCCTAGAAGCTGCTGCTTCACCTGCTTCCTCACCAAGCTGCTCGGCCCTACACCCAACAAGTACCTGGGAGGAGTACACAGTTCTCTAATCAGGATAAATTTATCAGGAATCCGTATGGTTCTGGGCCAAGGATCAGCCGCAGTGTGGAAAGATGGCCGTGTTTAATGCAGAATGTCTAGAAACTTCTGAGTGTTCTTCGTCTAAGTGACTGGAAGGAAATCTGTAGCTAGCTTCTAGTGAAACACGGAATAGATAAAAGTACTTCAAGAAGTTTCTATTTTGTGTTCTGTTGTATTTGTTAGAATCTTTTACAGCAATGGAATCAAAGATGCTTGGTTTGTAACAAAGGGGCTTTGGGGCTGGGAGTGTAGCTCGGTCCATAAAGTGTCACAGGCAAGCAGAGGGACCTGTGTGTAACACCAAGCCCAAGTGTGTAGAAAGCCAAGCATGGTAGCACTTGCACGCCCATCACTGGAGAGATTTCTGGGTAAGATGATGGATTAGAAGCCTCACCATGGGAGGTTCCGTGAAAGAACTGTGTGTACCCTGGCAATTCAGGAGCAAAGTAACACCATCTCTTCATCGGTCATAGACAGCTAATACTTGGAGGGGAAGAGGGAGGTGTGTGAAGTAATACGGACAGCTTGAGCCACTGTGAGAGTGCAGAGTCTCAGGTGTGGGTCCGGCCAGAGAGGCGCGTGCGGGAGGGAGCTGTGGACTGTTGTCCTGAAAGAAGAGAGAGCCCCGTCCTCCTTTGTAAAAAGATGGGCTCCTTTTGCTTTGTTTTCTGTGCTGTACTAGGAATTGAATCAGAGCCTTGCATGTGCTCCACCCCTGAGCTACACAAAACCCTTGGATTTGTCAGCAAAAGGGGGACAGAGACACAGACACAGCCTCACGTCATCACCCTCAGCAGCCCGAGGAGTCTCCCTAATCCAAGGAAACTCAGGCTAAGCCTGGATTTGTGGCTCTAACTCAGAAAAAAATTCTCAGGCTTAGCCACTATGAAGCAGAATTGGAGATTTGTTTTAAAGGGATTTTAATAGAGTCTCAAGCATGAGAATTAGGAGAAGACACTCAGAAAGTCGACCCCATGTGTGGGCCCCTGCTTCTCAAGGGGGAGTGGGAGGAGACCGAGGCATACCCAAGTTTCGGTTTGGGCTCCTGGAGGGAGAGATGCGATTGAGCGTTTTGGGGTTACACCATTTTGGTGGCTATAAAGTTGCATTTCAAAAAGTTTTTAGGAACCCTCCCTCTTTACTCTCTTGATAAGAGAAATGATAAGGTAGTCGGGTGCCTTGGGCTGATTTATAATCTGATAAAGTAAGATCAGGAGCCACAAAAGGATTGCACAAAAGGTGCAGTCCATGACCTTTCTGTGTCTGTTGACTCTGGTCAGATTCCGAGGAAGCTGCAGGTTTGCGGTGGGGAAGGGAGAAGCCGTCAGTCGTAGGTAGCTGTTGGGATTCCTGCTTCATTGCTAATGAGAGGCCAGTGAGTGGGCCTTTCTCTTCTCACTGAGGTTTTCCCGTCTTTCGGTCTCGCCTTGAACATGTATCTTCCTGTCCGTCTAGTGGCAGGATGGTGGGCATGTGCCACCCTGCTACATCACAGCCAGCTTTCTGTGACAATGGGAACAGCCAGGGCTTTGGGCACACAGGGAGAGCACCCTACCCCCTCCCAGGCCTTGTGAATATGTTTTAAACATCTGCCAGGTGTCGTGGCACACACCTTCAATTCCAGTACTCAGGAGGCAGAGGCAGGCAGATCTCTGAGTTCGAGGCCAGCGTGGTCTACAAAGCAAGTCTCAGGAGATCCATGCTCCTAAGCTAGGGTGAGTTTCATGACTGTACTTGCTGGGATTACATGTACTCATCTAGATGAACACATGTTCAGAGTGTGCACACCATCACAAGGTCAGTCTGTCCTCCTATTGTCTAACACTTCATTCTGGGATTGCTCACCAGGGTAATGTGGGGGACCACTGGCCTCCCCAGTATCTACCCTTTGTTTTCTCCCCTCTCAGGCCACCAGGCTTGCTGCAGGCGGTCTGCCTACTAGAAAGTAGAGGCGTGCTGTTCTCTTCAGGAGGCGATTTCATCCACTTGACCTCCTGAGAGCTGCCTCATCCCTGTTCTTTGATCACTTTTGTTTGCTTCTCCACACTTGCTTGGATGCCTGGGCACCTCCATGCTGGGAGGGACCAGTGGGGGATGGGCAGAGGGGTGAACCCAGCTTTCCCTTGGAAGATATTCTAGACTCTGGCTAAAGTACTAATCAGACTGTCCTTCCATCCCATCCGACCATCAGTTCACCAGTTCAACTTCCGTGTGTGTGTGTGTGTGTGTGTGTGTGTGTGTGTGTGTGTGTGTGAGAGAGAGAGAGAGAGAGAGAGAGAGAGAGAGAGAGAGAGAGATAGGCTCATAGAGAAAGTATTAGTTGACTGACCAGCTGGAAATGCAAAAGTCCAGCTCAGTGAGGTGACAGCGATGAAGGAAGGTGACCTGGTGTCTGGTTTGCTGGCTCATCTTGGAGGTGGCCACAGAGAGAAAAAGCTAAGAAAGATTCAGTTACTTTGTTTCCAGAGAAAAACCATTTCTCTTGACAGTTGAGACTAGAGGAGTTGGAGAGTTGGCTCTGCACCCCTAACAGGCTGCTGATAGCCAACTGTAGCTCCAATGAAGGGGACCTGACCCCCTCTTCTAGGATCAGCAGATACCTGAGCTCATGGACATGCTAACACACAGGCGTGCGTGTATTCTCACTATTTTTAAATAGCAAAAATAATTTTTTTAAAAGAATATATTAAGGGGTGGTGATTTAACGCAGAAGGTAAAGTCGCTTCCTGCCAAGCCTGCTGACCTGAGTTCCATCCTTGGGACTCACATGTAGAGGGAAAGAACCAGCTCTCAAAAGTTGTCCTTTGGCTGAGCAGTGGTGACACACACCTTGAACCTTCAGCACTTGGAACATGAGGGGAGGGCAGGTAGATCTCTGTGAGTTCAAGGCCAACCTGGTCTACACAGAGAAATCAAAAAAGTTGTCCTCTCTGATTTCCACACATGTGCTGTGGTACACCAAAACACATACACACAAAGATATATATATATATATATATATATATATATATATATATATATATATATATGAATATATATACATATACAAACATACACACACACACACACACACACTTAAATTAAAAAAGAGTGGCACTTGTTCCGTGCTGTGGGTTAAACCAATAGTAGCAGTACCTGCCTTTGTCCCCAGCCTCTGCACCCAGTCCCCAGCCTCCAACCCTCACACCATTCTCCAGGGACCTCTTAGGGACGTTCTGCTGAGTCACAACATCTAGGTCCAAGTCACTGACAGAGTCCAGCACTGTACATTAGGATACTACTCATGGGAAATAAAAGGAAAATCTTTAGGCACTAACCTTTAAAAACCCTGTTGCACCAAACTTGTAGCTACAGTCTTGAGCTGTATCTAGGGTCCTTCTGTAACTCATTCATGCAACAGACTTCTTAATTTAACTCAATAGGCATTTATTTACGGGGCGGGGGTGACACAGGCAAGCCATTGCATGTGTGTGGAGGTCAGAGAACAACTTGTGGGAGTCAGTTCTTTTCTCCCACCATGCAGGTTCTGGGAATCAAACTCAGGTCATCGACATAGCAGCAAGCTGAGCTTGACCTGGTGAGCCCTCTCTCCAGCCCCAGTAAACTAATTTAGCCTACCATTTTTGATGAATTAGCACAAATCCCAGTTGTAATGAATTAAGTAGTTCAAGTGGCTGCAGTGGGCTGAGGGTGGAGGGGTAAGGGAGAAGGGGAGAAGTGGGAGAGAGAGAGAAAGA